TTAGAAAAATAGATTTATATCATAATTAAGTTATTTAAATTTTAAATTCATTTGGAGCTTATAAAAATATTTATGAAAACTATTGAGCAAATAATGTTAATTAATTAATAAACGATAACTGTTATTCGAGTTGTAGCATTTTTTATTCATAAATTTGTGTCATACGTAAAGATAAATGCTTGATTAGAGATATTGCAACGCATTGCGATATCGTGTTAATGGCGTTGTACGTGATACAGCGAGGTATAACAGATTAGTGGTCGGATGTCCGTATCGGGACGTGGTTATGCCTGTCACAAGCCAGTGCGACCAATTATAGCGCAACATCTAGTGTTCTCCATCAGAATATACTATATAACGTTTCCAATTGTGCATGTACGCTGCAATTGTGCAAGAAAGTTGGCCGAGAGTTTGAGATCGGTCTCCCGTATAAGCAAAACACAGAGAATCAGAAATTAGTGGTAAAGGAATAAACTCTATTCGCGTTTAAGCGAAATGGATTTCGCGTTGCTAAATACTTTTTTCTCTATATCCCACAAGTCTCGAATATAGAAAACAATGACTTATCGTCTTCGATCGCGTTCGAAATCGAGAGCTTGTGTATCCTCGTAATTTGAATTTCGTGGTGCTTAAAAATAAGACCCCACGTTGTAGCTTTGTTGACTATTGGATTGCCAGATGTATATAGCCGTACGGTACACTTTGTACACTTCGGAATATGAAATTAGTATATTAATAGACGAGACACGATAGCCTGTGATTATAGGAGAGAGAAAAAGAAATTAACGACCGAACGTTTTAACGACATGTCACGCACGATCATTTACCTGTGTAATAATTTATGTTGTATGGATTTATGTTTGTATTTTACATCCTCTATTTCTTCTTTGAATTTAAAATATAATTCTTTAAAACAGAGAGATCCAATATTAACTGTTTAAAACTGACGGTGAATCTACTGGCCTTAATTATAAATCTCTTTTTAAAAAATATTAAATAATTCAATTTTTATGTTACATTTGCAAATTTGGATTATTTTTATTAAAATGTATAGTATTCATTCTTTTCTAAATGCAATCATATTTTGACTTCTGAAATTAATTAGTGCTTTTTAACATAAATGAAATGGATCTTACAGATTTTGCGTTAGTACTATAATGTCACAGATTTTGACGTCAGCTCCGGAAGATTAGAAATAGAAATTTCATGTTTAATTTTTTATAACTCTAATTTTTATTGTTTTAACAATTGTAAAAATATATTTAAAATCTTAAAATTGTAAGTAGAATTAACTTATTAATTGTAGAAAGTGTCTAATATGTTCTGTAACAACTTTTCAAAGGATTCTAGCATTCCAAATTCGAATTAACAGTATGTTTTCTCAAGAATCACATATGATATTCTTTAGAACTGTAAGTTCTAAAGAATATCATATGTGATTTTCAGGATGTCCGAAGTTTCGTGATGCGGCTTCGTGTGAAGTTTAAGCATTGCCAGGAAGCGCGTTACAAAAATGCGCGACTATTTAATGCGTATAAATTTACTATAGCGCGCTCAGAGCAAGAAGTTCCGGTGGTGGAAAGTGGAGTCTGTTTGTGCGCGGCATTTCCGAAACTACCGTGAAAGTTTTGAGCTGACGTAGAAGATGGAAGGGGGATACAGTTCGCAATGGTACGGCAACGATGTTGGGCCGGGCCGAGGCTGTAGTTCTGCGGCGCTTCGTCGTAAATTCCTACAAATGCTGTAACAGGTCGGCGGCGCTACGACGCTCGTTCGTCGTTATTACGACGCACTACGTCGTTATGAATTTTATGATTCTACGTTATAAGTAATGTCGGAATTTATAATACGGCGCTTTGAAAGACGCTGCACGGCCTTTGCGAAATTCGCTCCAGCGAACAGCTAGAATTTTTTTTCGGATTGTACAGTAAATTACTGATGAAAAGATTGCGCCTACTTGTGCCATTCAACGTTAATGAGAAGCTTCATCCATTCGAGCCGTCGGACTTTCTGTTACTTACAAAATGTAACAATGCGCGCGTTTATTAATTTACAAATACATTTTAAATTTCTATATACAAATTTACCGTTAAAAATAAAAATAATATTAATTAAGATATAATTAAATAAAGAATATTAAACTTGTCTATATGTTGTATATAATTTATCATATTCATAACATTAGATTAGATGCTCCTTTTTGCTTACATGAGATATAAAATAAATATTAGAGAATTCATCATCTTTATTCAATTTTAGTAAGATAGCAAAAAAATAATTATTACTTTAAAGAGACTCAATTAGCTCCGTTCGTACATTTTTAAGAAAATATGCATCAATAATTGCGCAGCTGAGCTGGAATATCCATTGAATAAGATAAGGTAATCCGTTCTCATTGGAAATTACATCTCTCCCACGTATAAATCGTATTATTAGCTTACAATACGACGTACACATATCCTGGTACGTCGCGATCCGGCAAGGGCAGTTCCGTCAAAGCCGCTTGATCCCATCCGGGGGTATTAAACGGAAATCGTCGACAGATGCGTCCGGCCGGTTAGATCGCAGACTCGCGCGCGGATTAATAACCGAAGATCCCCCGAGTTAATTAGTGCTCCGGCTTAATACGAAATGCCACCCTGGCACGTGTCGCGATAACTCGCGACTCTCGGGTCGCCGCGCCAGGTCGGAAGTCCGTTTCCTCTCTCTCTCTCTCTCTCTCTCTCTCTCTCTCTCTCTCTCTCTCTCTCTCTTTCTCTCATTTATCTCTCCGTGTAGGCTTGCGGCGCACTGATTCCGCACGCGCTGCACCGCACGGACATTGGACGTGACGATCGTGCATTCCTAGTGCGTGGCTAGTCGGTGCATAAAGGACGTGGCGAGCTGTTCGTCCCCGTTGTGCACACCGGAAGCCAATCCGATAGAATGCACGGACAATGAGGAAGGCTCCTCTGCCGGAGGAAGCTGGCTGGCACCGCGCCGTCGGCTTCGACGCGCCCCATTGATTGGTACGCGCACGTACAGCCGGCTCCCTTTGTGCCCTACCTTGCCCCGGCGCAAGGTGCATTCACCTTGGTCATATTACGGTTTAATTGAAGTTGATGCCGGCCGCGTATAAAGGCCCTGGACGATATATCGCGCCCGGGGATCTTGGGAAATGTAATTCGCGAGATTAAAGTGGACCGTAGGTCAAAGGGAATGTTAATCATTTTTAGTGCTGAATCTGATGTCCCAAATTGTCCTATTCTTATTATTTCTTTCGTACATTTGAATCAATCACGTGTAATGTCTATCAAGCGAAGATTTTGCGTAAGAAGATATAATTTGCATAATTATTTTGTATGTATAAATTTTGTATGGATAAAACGTCTTAAGGATCGCGTGTAGAAAATATATTAAGTGTATGACCAATAATATGTCGCTTGCTTACTTGAAAAATGATAATTAAAAAAAAGTGATTTTTAAATTATTATCATGGACGAGTTAAGTAAACATTATCCTATTAATCATTAAAATTAAACTTAACTTTATAAAACATCATAAAAATCGTCACAATTCGCGATTTTTAAGAGTTATGAAACGAAAATAATAAAAATGGAATTCGATCGTATTAAGAATATTCTCCTATTTTTTTTGCCGATATTTTTTGATTAATTAATAATTGTTTGTCTAGTTGAAAAATAGTTTTTTTGGAAAATTTGTAGCTAATTTGGTCACTTGCACTAGATTGGTACATACTAAAAGCTTCTACATGAAATTAGCAAAGTTAAATGTAAAAGCCTATAAATATGTATTTTAAATCATTAAATATCCAATAATGAGATTGTCACGTTATTTAACAGAATATATTTTATTGTCAAAGTTGATTACATTATGCCCCTGCATTTAGATATTTTATATAAAGTAGTCTTTAATATGCATTAATCCAGTGTAGTGTGAGCGAATTCACTATTAATATTTTTAACTGTGAACTCACTTTTAGTAAAGGAAGTAAAGGAGTGATACAGATTTTTAATATCACAAGCAGTATTTAAATTTTTATTAAACGTCTATCACTGATATTTTTATTTTTATACAATGTTCCGTTTAATTCTCGCACGTTTTTTTGTTTATACGGGATTGTCACGATAATGGTTTATCGATATGAAAAGTCTTCGCTAACCGTTAAATACCACATCGTTGAATACATATATCGAAAATCGGATTAAATCGAAAAGGTCAATGAATCAATTTAATCGAAATTGTCGAAAATACGATTGTCTTTTCGATTATTTGAATAATTCGATTTTGGAAACTGAATGGTTTTCTGGCCAGTCATCAATCTAGTAATGCCAACTCCAAAAACAAATTCAGTAGAACGTGCGGATAAATCCGCAACGAAGTGCCCATTTAAATTTTCATTAAGAACAGGCTGCAAATTTATCACATTCCTGCTATTAGTTCTCGCGTTAGCCACGTCAGCGGCAGATGATTCTTCTACAAATAAATCTGGTCAAATTAAAAAATTCTCAGTAATATGTACATAATTAAACAGGAAGTGATTCAATTGGCGTCCGTCGTTTTACGTAAAATGCACAACTTTGAAAAATTAGCAAATTTTTTCCGAACAAAATTATTCTTTCCACGGTCGGTGGCTTCAAACTTAGATCTCATTAGTTTTCATTTCAATCCTCGGTACGTTCGCGGTTACGAGATGTGCCGGTCTCGTAAGCGGAGTGGTCGTTTTCCACGGAATCATTATTCTTGGACGTCTCTTTGGCGGGCTCGTAAAAATTGATCCTTATCGCGAGAACCACGTTCCACCGCGATGCTACCGGATATTTAATTAAAGCCGGGCCGTTTAAACGCTCGTGCGCCTCGATATATGGAGTGTCTAGATGTGCAGACAGTCCGAAGGTCTATTCTGCTCGGCGCGGGCGCAGCGCTCCGCATCGCAATCGCAACACGCCACATGCACGCATGCCGCCGCACACAACTTGCGTCTCTTATCGATTTCAGTGATATCGGCGGTGCGCTCGCCCTACACGCCGGTCTATGGCAATTTCCGCGCGCTCTCGTATCCATTTGAATAGCTAGGATAACTTCGGGAGCTAACGTCGACGGAGAGAGTACATTACTCGCTCGCTCGCGCGCGCGCGCTCTGCTAGTGCGATCGGTATTCTGGCACTCTCTCGGTCGAACTACTTCCGATCGTGGGTGTGGGTATGAACGCAGCGCTGTCGAGAGGTGGGATGAGGGTGGGCCTTGGAATTCATCGACTGCCGAGGCGCGTTAAGCGTATCGTTTCCGTTCATCTGGAAACAGCTTCGATATAAATCGAGGCCATTTCTGCCGAAATGAACTCGTTGCGCTCTGAATTCCGTACATATTTCTCGCACGTCTTCTTCGGAGTTTCATATTTTTGTGAAATCGCTCGATTAGGTACGTGTCTCGCCACCCACCGCTACGCAAGTAAGAAGCATTGCGGATAATCACGCGTCAAAAACCAGTTTTGTAAGGGCAATCTATTGTGAGAATGAGATAACATTGCCTGATTCCGAGAAAAATTATGTAATTTCAAAATAAAAGTTTATACTACATGCTTAATATAATTTATTTTCGAGAACATTTCAAGCTAAAAGTTTGGAAACACTTTTAAACAATTGAGTAGGATTACTTTTTTAAATATTCAATAACAATGTATTTTTTTATAATAATTTTTTACATTTAGTAACTGTTATTGAAGAAATCTGAAGAATTGTTAAAAAAAGACATTATTATGTAATATTGACATTTAAGTAATTTCAAAAATATATCACTTTTCATCTTCATTACATGAAGAGAAAATGATAAAAATTGAGGAGACAGAATATATAATGAAGAAAAGCTTCATCATGAAAAAAATTTTTAAAGATATATGAACAACAATTAGAGGCACCCTAAAATCTATCAGACATGCAAGCGTGCTATAACCATAATAATCGCGAGATAATAAGCACCACCTGCGATGCTAATCTGAAAAGGGTAGAAACATAAAGACGACTTTCAGGCATATTGACGTTTAAGTATATTGCATGTCGCGCACGTGACACGTTAACAGTATTAACGACGTTGTACTGAATTTTAATTGCTTCGATGCTTCGCTAGATTAAGCGCTCCGATTTTTCTCGTGATTTTCGCGCGAGAAGCAAGGGACAGACATTTAACCGTACTTGGCCGTGGAAACGACACTACTTGGTGAATGTCGAGAAATTTCAATTAAACTAGTATTGGATGCCACTGCTGCAGCTTCGATCAAGAAACTCCTATCGACTATCCATTGAGTGTCTCTGACCAATCGCACCTGCTATTTGAACATCTAAGTCGAATCACATTCCAAGAAATACAATGGGGAAAAGGAGAGAAAGAGAAAGAGTGATTTGGCAAGTTTTTGACGTATATCACGACTAAAGTTTGTCGCTTGCTTGGCACGCTCTTTAAGATTTCGCAAACAGCTGAAGTCCAGATTTCTTCCAACATAATTTCGCAGTTACGTAGCGTCTCTCGTCGAAGCGAGGTGAGATTCAGAGACAGCGTACACCCGTATAAACTATGTAACACTCGACGAGGTCTCTTCAGGACAATTTCGAGTATTCGTGTGTTGTTGGAGTACCGTGTAGTGGCGTCAGGAATTTTGCAGGCGTTGCCGTTAGCAGCACCAACAGCCGCCAACCATTACCATCGCAGCCGTGTCACCAGCGGCAGTAGTAACAGCCAGCAACCAGCACTAGTAGCAGGAACGTCACTTCTATCTTCTCTCCTTCGGGTAACTGCGAGTCGGGGGAGCGATTTGCATATTCATTAAACACCCGCGGAGCCTACATATAGGTACCACTCGCTTTGCACCCGTTTGTCTCACACCGAGAGCACTTTTGCATCGCCTGCGGATGTTCTCGCATGGTAGATGGAGGACGCATAATGTTCGACGAGAGCGTGGGAGTTGAGTAACGATAACAGGGCCAAAGGGTTATTGTCGATAAGAACATTGACCGAAAAACCGAGCGTGCCTGTCGTTAACGAGCGAAATTTAAGACGTATTTGCATTCGGACTGCTGCCACTTGGCGCAAGTTGATAACGACTCGATCCACCGTTAGCTCGGGCATCGCATAGATCGTTTTGGATGCACCCATAACGGCAAGTAATGTATGTTCGCGCGGCAGTGTACTTGCGCGTTCCAGGATGGTGCGGTAAGAACGCCGTTTCTATCTTCTAGCGACTCCACTCCTTTCGAACGAACGCTCGCCTCTGTTCGTAATTAATTCGGGAGTTGCTATACGCATTCTCTTCGGCGGTGGCCAGGAGTAAGTTCGAAAGTGAAGCAAAAGAGCTGGGCATGCCAAATGGAGAACGTGGTGCCGAGGTAGCAAAGAAGATAAAAAGTAAGAGAAAGAGAAAGAGAGAGAAAGATATATATATATATATAT